CCACGTAGGTTTCTTCTGAAAGCCTATTCCAAATGTGCAAGGATTTACTGGGGAAGAAATTATCTTTCTGGCTAGTCGTGCAACCCTCAGTTTCAACTAATATCTTATGGTTACGCATATTGTACACAAACGTTATAATTAGCTCGATTTGCGGACCAGTATGGTGCAAGTGCCGATGGAGTAACCGATAATAAAATGTGAGGTCCGGTTTGAGTCTTCCCTTCCAGAGTGGTTCTAACCCAAGCATGTTACACCTGGATGTGTGGCCTGGGTTGTAGTCAGCTTTTTATGTTCTGAAGGCGAAGTTACGTTGTATCCCTTCGACTTTCAATTTATCGCTTTCACGAAGGCCACTGAGAATAAACGGGCAACATTCTGAAAAAGGTGGATGAATGCACATTTTATAAGGTAGAACCAGTGGTTCAGTGCTATAGAAGTTACGAATGATACATCCCAAGAGCTTGCTTGACTGGGATCTGATACATGCTGTTTGTCCCGAGAATGTCGAGTCTCTGGAATGCCTGATGCCAAGATCTAGCCCAGAAGACCGTATAGGTAGCTGTTTTCCTCATACGTCCAGGGTCAGGTCATGGTTGCAAGCCAACCACACTTTTTATTATTGAACATAAGGTGGGGCTCAGCACACCATGATGCGAGCTTGCCTAGTTCTTGTGGGGTACCATACAGAGTGTTACTTAGTTCGTGAGATTGACAAGTCTACATAACCTTCAAGTCATCGGCGTGTGGGAGTGTTTTGTCTTCTCTAAAGCAGTTGTACACTACTGATATAAATTATGAACAACAAAGGCCTAAGGACACTACCCTGTATGGCTCCGCTAGTTATGTGTTTGGGTTCAGACTGCAAGGAGCTCGCTTTCACGATTTCGGCACGATCGCTGAGAAATTGTTTTACCCAACTAAGTAAGGGGTCACGAATACGCATTGATTGTAGCTTATTAAAGAGTGTATTATGAGACACTATCAAATGCCTTTAATACATCAGAGTATGGAACAAAGACGATTTTACGTGCCCCACGGTTACTGGTGACGAAGTTGAAGAAATCAAAACTGTCACTAAAGTGACTTATGGTAGGGGTTGATGGGGATTAGCGAAGAGGCACTGAGGTCTGTGGGAAAAGGACAGGGCATAGGCAATAAAATGTCGGGAACATTTTTTAGTGAACTGCAGAAAATCTTTAACGACAGGCCGCCTCATCCCGTAAGAGAAGTATTTCGATGCTCTAACTTCTAACAATGTGTTGCTTCTGGCAGGGGACGTAGGACTGCAAACAGACAGAACGGAGGTTAACGATTGTGTTAGACGGTTGAGGAAAGCAAAGTCCTAGAATACAAGTTTTAGAAAAAGTGGTTGGAAGGGTAAATATTGGCCCTACAGGCAAGAGGTAGACTGGAAAACCTCGCGGAAGCTTCCTGGTTGGACTCATATGCCTCCCTCACAGTCGTTATACACAAGTATTACCACGTGAAAGACAACATGGGTGGATCGACACACACGTGTCAGAGTAGGCCAAGACTCGTCGGGCAAGAAGTGGGATAGCAACCGCCAAGACCTCTTGAGTCAACAGTTGTCACGTAGGTACAAGATACTGGGTCAGGTACATCTAGTGCTGCATCTACTGCTACGGTGGTCCCCATGCAAACGGGAAGCGAAGTTCCACCTATCCTATGAAGACTGAGGAGTCCAGACTCAGCCGTGTAAATTCACCCCACCTGGATACGTATATTCACCTGGATCATATGATTGTGTGGATACTTACTTATTCACGAAATCATTGAAGTGGGTTGTTTTTGGCCGATAAAGCCACGAACAAAGAAATGGCGCAATAATCGACGTCTGTCCGACGAAGCACTGGGTCTTTCAGACAGGTCAATCATTTCGACTACTCATAACGCAAACGCCGAATATTGGGCCGTTTGATGACACTATAGCGTAAAAAAGAATTGTGAGTAGGAATGATTTAAACTCAGAACGATGTATATGTACAGTAAATTGGTATTTTCCTGCTATTTTTAAAACTTTTAGATTCTTGGCATCATGGTAGAGTTCAATTTCTCCCTTATGCACCATTCGAGACTGCCCAAAACTTTTAGGTTTGATGATGCCAGTACGCCAGCTTTTCTCATTTTAACTTCACAACCTGAGGAGTAAAATGTTTATTTATTTATTTAACGGAGTTATGAAAGCAGTCTTTTCCTCCCAGTAGGCATATCCCACACATACGTGCAGCAACATCACGGAACCAAGAAGAAGAGTAGCAGGAATAAGTGTATTCCATAAAATCCCTCAGTCTGGTGTCACGTTTGCCACGGAATCCTGGCTCTTGACTGACGTTTTTGGCGAAGAAACCCATGTCACTGGTGCAAGTCTTCCGCGGGGACAAGGAACTCACAGCAGGAGGGTGAGTGGCTCCTTAATTAAGTTGGTGCCGCCACACATGGGGGCCCGACGGAAATGCACTGTGCCCAACGAATGATCTCAGTGGGAACATATATACTCGACCGTCTCCTGATCTCAGCGACCCTGCAGTAGTAACTTTCTTCGTGATTATAAAGGAATTCCTGGGACCAGAGGTGCCTCAACCTCTTCCTGCTGCACCAAGGCAGGCAGTGAGAACACAAGAGGTTGCCTCATGAACGCCTCATGGCTTCTATACTGGAATCGTCTTACAATAGATGAAAACTGGGCATAGGTGAAAGAAAGGACAGCTGAGACCATCGGCCGCATCGGGTCAGGGGCAGCACACGGACCGTCGGTGGGAAACACATGTCCAAAGCGTGAGACAGCGAGGCTACTTCACACCGAAAGGCAGTCTCGGTTTGAGTGGAGTTCATCATGCAAGGGGTCAAACTTCCTTATATACAAAAAATTCACGACCGTCGCCACCTAAGTGTCCGCAGCTAAGGGTTTGGCTCTAAACCACACCCGGAGAAGAGGTTGCAAAGTAACCCAAGAGACCGGCACAACTTCATTCCGGAAAAAAGTAACCTGAAAAGGAGTAAGCCTTATCACAGATCTTAACACAGACGTGCTAAGCAGTCAAGAGACGGCTTAGCTTCTGAGCTCACACCTCGAGGCGCAAACGAGTACTCGCACCAAATCCTCACTGGTTCGATATGATACTGATCAGACCGTCAGCGGCGAATATCCCCGTCACATCCTTATCATGTAGAAAAAGTATCGAAAAACTACTTAGTCTCTGTCCGGGCAAGTCGCACGGTTGGGAAAACCTGTGGCCAGAGCACTCACTAGAATCATGCAGACTGCCTAAGGAGTGGGAATGCGCGATATTGTGACCCACTTTCAAGGGAGTGGACAGAAAAGGGTCTGATAGGTACAGGCCGGTTTCTCAACTCCAGATACTGTAAAAGGCATTAAACAGCATGATAACCGATGAAATCTGGAAATTCCTTAGCAGGGAAAACACCGCCATTATGCTCAGTCATTCACGTACTGTCAACTTACTAACCGCTTGGAACGAGTGGACTTTTAGCTGGGCTAGCAGAGAAACAGAACGTTATATTTTTTCCTGACCTAGCCAAAGCATTTGACAGTGCCCCGCCAGCAGTCCTGCCTCGCAAGATCGTGTCAGTCTGTATTATTATAATTTCACTTGACCAATCCTCAACTACCTTGGTTCGAAGTGCATCTGGAAGACAGGCAGTTATGCGCCAAGCCAAACGGAATACAGCCACAGTGGAAACCATCGATGCCGAAGGTATCCCAAGAAGCAATCCTGGGATGTCTTCCTTTACTCCCATTCGTCAGCCATCTGCCACACGAAATCTCCCCTTCCACCCTCCTCTTCGCTGGTGACATTAAAATTTGAAGGGTAGTAAACTATGAGGTCAACTGTACAGCACTGAAAAATGATTTTCAGCTCCTAGAACTCTGGTCGTCAGGAAAAGGCTTGAACTTCAACTTGGAAAAGTGCCGACGAGGGGACGTCGGCCGATTTCCGATACAAGTTGAGCAACCACGCTACAACCAAAGTACCCGTGAAAAAAGACTCGAGGCCCAACTTCTCGGACACCTCGGATGCCAACTTACACCTTCTAAGTAGACAGCCTCATGCTCTCATCCCGAACTGCTTCTCACAGTTTTCATACATACGGCTGCGCCTAATGGTCTTCAGTAAGGTGGCCCCCGGCACTAAAGAGAGACTCTATCCTTCTTAAGGAAATACGAAGATCTGTAACAAAATCCCTTGTAGGATTGGGGGGGGAGGTGCACTCCAAAGGACTGAAGCATCTAAATCTACCCAGGTTGAGCTGTCGCGGAAAGATGAGTGACTTTATTTTTGCCCACAAAATCATTTAGCAAGCGGGTCAAGCAAAATAAACTAGTCTTGTCTGCAATATGGCGGTCACCCCGTAGAAACCTCTTTAGGATATCACATCAGAGAGCTAACACCATGGCCAGATCTAACGCTTTTCCTTAAGAGCATATGATCTATTGATTACCTTACCGCAAGATGTAGTCACAGCCCCCTCGGTAGACTCATTCAGGAGACAGTCAGACAGTTACGTTACTTCTCAAAGATTACCACAGACATACTCAGGAAATTGCTAACCTCACTAGCTCACTACTACTTCCTTCCTTTTTGTTACTGTATCTCTCTTTTCAACACACCTACATTGTATACTGACTCTGCCATAACAACTAGACCCATGCTAACTGCCTTCATCTTTTGGGTAATTCCCTACATCCTCTTCCACTATCTTCATGTTCCTATTAAGGCACCTATACTGACACGAGTCCTGAAAGATTGCTGATCTTCCCAGCAACCTGCAGCACCCTAATTACTCTAAAAGTTGCAATTGTTAACCCACGAAAGCACTCACATCATAAGAGCTAAAAGCAGCAAAGCAGAGTAGATTTTCATGTCTACTGCAAGCGAAAACCGAACAACACGAACCAACACCCAAGAACTAGACGCAAAAAACTAAAATCTTTCAGTTTCTGACACACACTTTCCTTGTTGATGTTGGTGGATGCGTACTTTGTTTCCCGCTACCTTTGAATTCTGCCTGGTAGTGAAATGAGTGCAGGTAACCGGCATGTTGTTATGTAAACATAGCGTGGCTTAGCTGACATGATTCGTTTTGCACATCCAGAGACTCGAAAGTGCGAGTTTAATTTACTCAGTCGTTGTGCAACAATCGGCAGAGACTGATTTCACACTGAGATGTAAAACGTTTTTCTAAGATCAACTTCGACAAACATCAGCCATGACTGGTCTACAGAACTCATATAGAAGTCAGAAATGTCTCTAGTTTCAAGCAGTATCTTGTGCACATTCGTTAAGTGTTTGTGTAAAGATCTCTGTGAATTAATATGTGCCAGTATAAGGTTAACTATATAAATGAGTATACCCCAGTCAACATTTTCGCAAGAACATGGTGAAAAATTGCCTTGAAAACTTGTGGTTAAATAAAGAGTTTCCCTATGTTTTTACGGCCCGTGTTTTATTCATTTGATCCCGAGTTACTGATGGTTTTCCCCACAATTTTCTTGGCTCGATCTACTCTACGTTTCCCCGCCAAAACGTTTAATGGGGACGATTTTACGTGCGATAGGACTATCGGTTCACGTTTACTTTAGGGATACTACGAAATCTTTTGTCAAAAGCTAGATCTCAAACTATGCACACATTTAACCCAGTCACTGCAGTGTTTTCGTAAGTTCACAAGAATCCAAAGTAAGTGCTAGCAGAGAAAAGTAACATTATCAGTGATGATTTGGTACCTGTATCACTTTCTTTGGTACTAAAGTAAGACACTTTTTCTCTTCAAATGGTGTCTTGTTTGCTGATCTTTAGGCACTTAAGCCGAATACGGGGATCACTAGATAAATTCGTCCTAATCATTTAGTTACCAAAACCACTTCCGGGCTACATATGGGCTCCAAACACCTTTACTTGGTGATTAGGCTTTTATAACACAACGCAGCTAGCCGCGCTGGCTTGAATCTTTGTTTGCTAGAGATTCTGTCATGCTAAAAAGGTCTAGTGGGTAGCTGTAAGACTAAGCAGCTGTCGTTATATTCCTAATCGTTACCTTATGAATGTAGGGTAAAGTCCTGCTGTTTGCTGCAAAAACTGTGGTAACAGGAAAGTGTTTCCTGTGGAGGACCAGAAATACCGTATTGATGCTGCCTTTCTTGTGGAAAAGGGAGTGGTCTGGAAATGTTAGTACCGAAAATTAAATACGGCTCCATATCGTGCTGTATTCTAGTGCGGGTATGGTGGAATTTCTTCTCCAGCGTTCACTTGATAAAATCTTAATCCATCAGTCCTTCAAAGGCTATGTAATAGGCTTCAAGTAGGTGTTCTATAGGTTCTGTGGTCATATGAAACTGTTTTCCCCCTCTCTTGTGCCTTGTAAAAACAACCTCCATCTCACAACATCCAGGCCGTACTTGATGGGGAGCTCGATGTTAGTGTTATAACTCTTCAAGGTTGAAGTGTGTTTCAAACCCGAATGAGCGCTTAGCAACAGCAGTTGATGTAAGGAGCTTTTATAGAAGTAGCTGAGAAATCAGAGTGGAGTAACTGGTGTATTAGGTGGCTTATGAGAATCACAGGCAGACCGGTCTACTCCACTGATCATTGCAGTTTGTAGAGGGGAGAAATCGTGTGACAACTACAAGGGCATCAATTTGGTAAATATCATGTGCTTAGTTGTCCGATGCCAAACTGCTCAAAAGTAAACTCCAGAAAACTAGGCAGGTTTCCGACGACGAGAGTGAATCGATTGGATCCCCCCTTGGTAGGTTCTGAAACAGGCCTAATTACCACTGACCAACACTTGCCATATTTTTTGTCCTTAGTTGACACTTGAATCCCGCTCGTGAGATAGTCTTATTCTGATTGTGAAGGCAGTGTCAACAAAGTAAGTACAGCTAATCAGAACTTCCTACTCGAACTGACAACCATGTAAGGCCTGAAGTGGCGAGTACCAATGGTGTCCGCTCAGTATACCCTCTTTCGTTCTTTCTGCTTAACTTCATTGTGGATGGCTTAATGGTCGTGACGTTGGGGATCTGTGACTTCACAGGGATTGACCTACTCCATGGAAGGCATCAAGCCGACTTGTCGTACTCAGACACCATCGTCTTGTTAGGCGATGTTGACAAAATGCAGTTCTGAACGCCATGAGAGGAAACCTGTGTATGTTTGAAATGCATTTCGCACCTGTCAGATGTATGACAAAGCTCCAGGGCTGCTTTGCAACTACTTCCAGTTTAATAATCGGGAGTGAATTAGTTAGCTGCGTCAACCATTCCACTTGCTGGGCGGAGTTGCATCAGCCTGAACGGATTGGTTGCTGATGAAATCTCAGCTCGGAGGAATAAACTCTTCCATCATCCAGCTTCGGTTTTCTCTCTTTTCGCCCCAGGGTGCAGTCAGTGACTTGTGCGTACTGAGTTAGCTGTCAGTTAAGCGTGCGTATTATATTCGTTCGGAATATATACCCGTTGGTGACGAAGATGTAACAGTTTTATAAATGAATGTGCTTAGTGTACATCTAGCAATTAAGTGCTGGTATGTATAGTTGTAATGGCGATCAGCAGTTCCCAGTTGCACATATTGATTTTAAACATAATCCGATATTATTTTGTTGAATTTGTGCCACGTATATTTTAATTCATTTCAGACTTGCCGTAAGGGTCTGATTGATCAAGATTGTTTGGTATCGGCACAGTTAGTAATCGCATTCACCAAACTCACTAATTAGTTAATAACAACGAGGAAGTGAAAATGTCTAGTTCCGATTTTGTCAACATTTTAATAACCACGAATGCCTCGAAACTAAGATGTGAAAAACACTATCCACTTGATATAACACTAGGTCAGCTAAAGGTATGTGGTTTTTGATTAATCACCAGTTAGTTTTCAGGAAAAGCTGGTTTTGGTTACAGGTTGTGATAACCGTACTATGAGAATAGAATTGCATGATAAACAGGATAAATGCTTAGGCCAGTTACTTGGTGATGAGAAGTCTTTGTATGATCTTGGGGTTGAAGATGAAATGCATATTCACGTGACGGATCCAACGATTCCAGATGGAGTATTTGATCAACCGGAGGAACCCGTAGAAACCTACCAGATGTCAGCCGAAGAGTATGCAAAACGTGAAGGTATATTTGTGGATATTGTGTAAATATCGAGCTTTCATATGTGTGCCTTTACCATATTTTGATAATGCTTCCTTAACAGCTACTCACTCATTAAAAAGATGTAAACTGATTTAGTTCTCGTAACATAGTTTTCCATAGGTACAGCAGGATAAACTGTCGTGCAAACTGGATTTAGAATATTACTATGTTCCACTTTTCAGAATTCAGAAAGTATCTAATACAATGTATTATAGGCATATTTCGAAAAAAGTTGGTACTCACAGGTCTGGAACACATACAGAGGGGACCCGAGTATTATTATTATATTGACCTCACCTAAACATAGCGAATCTTCAAAAATTCACCCGGAGAGTATCCGGTAACCCAGTGGCTAGCTCTCGTGGACTCGTCGGTGTAGGCATAGCATTGAGTTACGGAGCGGGAAGGGTGCTTTTCTACTGGGTACCGGTAAACAGTCGCCTGCGTGCTGTTTGACTGGAAGAATCTGTAAGAACTAGGAGGATCGTGGAACCAACCAATGCCTATTTATAATCGCCTAAGCACCGACCGACTGTAGTTCAGATAATGCAAAGGGTGAATTCTACGAGAGGCTGTCAACTTTGCTACAGAAATGAAAGCGTTCGGATGTAACCGTAATGGTAGGTGACTTCAACACTCAAGTAAGAAAGCTGAGCCAATCGAAAAGGCATATTTCTGGATGTATAGGGAATCCGATGCCAACGAACTGGTAACAATGGTAGTCTGTTGCAATTTCTCCAGCACCAGCTACCGGCATAAGGAGGGGCACTGTTTCATAAGGCGTTCACTGACTTCAAACCAACAATGAACACTGATAAATCATATAGCTAAAAGCAATCGTTAGAAAGGATCGCCACTCTTTATGGAGTACCAATTTATACTCGGATCACACGCCAGTAGAGGCTCTTTTACATCTGTGCGTTACTAGCCGCAGTAAGGCTTGTATGAGGTCGATTCGGGGAGGAGTTAGTTAAGCATTTATCTGAATATAACAGAAATGCTCATCCTGAGGAAACTTGCTGTAGAAACGGCGGTTAAGATAGTTGGTAACATACACCCAGAGGTTAGCAGACGTCATTGGATTTCCGCGACGTCATTCGAACTGACATGCACGACAACTGATTCTAACGGGTTCTAACCACGATGAAGAACGAAGGCAACTTAAACGTAAATTGACCAAGAGTCTTCGCGTCGATCGCGAGCAGTGGTTGGTGACAAGAGCGAAAGAGATTAAGAAGGCATCAGTGACGGGTGACACTCGGCAACTTTTTAGGCTTTTAAAGGATATCGGTAAGAAGTTGATAGTGAGTGAAACCGTCACGGAAAAAGATGCGATGCTGATAACCTCCCAGGACAAGTAGCTAGAACGTTGGGCAAACAACTTTGAAGTACAGTCCAACTGGCCCATAGCAACATTTCACTCAGTATCTAGCCTATACACGAATGGGACATAGATGTCGTTCCTCCAACTCTCCTTTAAGTTGAGAAAGCTGTGTCGAACCTGAAATAATGCAAAGCAACGGGACCTGACGCCTTTCCACTCAACGTCTTCAAGGATGGAGGAAGAAAATTGATTAAAGTGACAGGTTCTAGGTATTATATGAGAATCATAGGTAGTGACGTCAGACTGGCGTATTTCACTGACTATCCCAGTCTATAAGGAGGGGGAGAAATGTTTTTGTGACGACCATAAAGGGATTCGTTTGACTAATCTTGTGTCCAAGGCCCTAGGATTTATAGTTACCTGATGCCTAACTTGAGCTGGAGGACAGCAAACTCGAGAAAACTAAGCAGGTTTCAGACGTGTACGAGGGTGCATTGATCATATTTTCACCCTCCGACAGGTTCGGTAACGGGCATATCTGCCGGCCAGTGGTCGACGCGTGCTATATTTGTTGACCTGAAGGCGACATTTAACTCTGTCGGCCGTAATGTGTTGTGGTAGTGTTTGACTGTAAAGGGAGTAACGAGCAAGTATGTAGTGTTTATCAAACCTGTCTACTCGAACGTAGCCAGCCATGTACAGGCCTACAGGTAGTTTTCATGTGAATTCACGATGACTAGTGGAGTCCACAAGGGATGCCCACTGTCACCATTCCTATTTAACTTCGTCATAGGTGTACTCAAGGACGTAACGTCAAGTACGTCTGACTTCGCAGGGATTGATCTACTGCCAGAAGGCCATGTTGATTTGAAGTATCCGGGCGATATTGTCCGGATAGGTAAAGATGCTGACAATATGCAGGGTCTTGTGAACGCGTTGAGGCGATATTTGAATATGTTTGACATGCGTTTCGCACCTGTCAAATGTAAGATGATGCTACATGACTGGTCTGCAACCACTCTTAGTTTCGCTATAAAGAATGAAGTTGTTGAATACGTCGACCATTCCACTTACTTGCAGAATTGCATCAGCCCGAAATCTCAGCTCAGATACAGAAGGCCCGTTCGGCATTTCCCAACTTGCGTCATCTATGGCACCGTGTGGCGAGATATCCGACTATCTATCTGAGGATGAGTATGCTGCTCTACAGTTCGTTCTGTTCTGCTATATAACTGTGAGACATGGCCGTTAAAAGTAGAAGGCATTAAGCGGTTGCTGAATTTTTTATGACATGTGTCCCCGTAACATTGTTTGCGTTTGATAGAATCGCCGTGCGAGGAATGTTGAGGTTAGGTGAAAGGTAGTGGGAAGACAGACAAGTCGGTTGATAAGGTTGTGAACCTTCATCGACTGAGGTGGCTTGAACAGGTGTTGCCCACACCGAGTCACTGTCCGACTCGACATGCCATACCAGGAAAGGTTAGATGAGGGTTCATGTTAGTTAAACTAAGACGTGGTATCAGTCGAGTTCCCTGGCTGTTGGTGTAGCTCGCGTTAGATGTCAACTATCTGGCTGGGATCCCCGAGACAAAAGGAATCAGCGGTTGAGAACTCTTTATGACATGGCTGTAAATCGGTCACAACGATGCAGGTGTATTCACTTTATGGCATCTGCATCTTGAATATTTGCACTAACCTTTATCTTCAAATCGCTTATTCCCCTATACCACTTTGTCTACTTTTATATCACTTTTTCTGTACACCTGTTCTTTGTATTCTACTGTGAAGTGTAGCAACGTAAACTGATGCACTTATGTGCGAGGTTCTACGTTGATTCTGCCTCTCAGTTAAAAGATGGTAACATGACTCACTGGCTTGAGCATTTGACTTTCAGGCAATTGATCCCGAGTTCAAGTGTCACTCCACCTATTTGGACTAGGGTAGCTAGATAGTATCATAAGCCGTCACACAATAAGTGTAGCTTATAGGCTGGTATATGAACATCTTTATTGGGTTAAATTGTGTGAATTTAAGTTGAGAAGTGTAACAGACTAGAGTGAATTCAGGTTCTTATTTGTCTGTGTAATTTACTGCTAATATAAAAGAATTTTTGAATTACCGATACAAACAAGAAAGTTCTTCATCTATAGTAAGTTGCTCAAGTAGTTATCTTCACTACAATATTTTTATGCTTATTTTTTAAAAATTTAGACCAGTTAGAACATTTAGTGATTTTCAAATGTCTAACCTGTTTTCGATCCGGCATGAAATTCATTCATGCATAGTACAGTTATTAAGTATGTATACTGTTTGTGTATTGTTTTCACAGTTTCTTTATTAGCTTGGAAACGGCGTAATAAAATTGGACAGTTCCGAGATGTTGATCCAGAGGAGGCCAAACGTGCCGAAGAACAGCGTCAACAGACGGAACAACAGGAAAAAGAAAAAGCTGAATCATTACCAGTAGGTTCTCGGTAGGTAGAAACATTTTGGCATTTAGTGCTTTTTTCTATATTTCGCGCAAGTGATAAGTAAATGTAGCCGTATGCTAGTTTATTCCCAACAGTATTTCCAGAATCTACAAATAATGCTTACTTTTTACTGATCTAGGTTCATAACTATCGATCGCTTGCGACACAGAAGTAGTAATCAGCTGCTAAAACAGTAACTTCGCAAACTATTTCTAAGCCAGTGATCCAGTCATCTAAGGTGAAGTGTTCAGATCTCTTCACTATAACTTCATTTACTATGACAGTTCCCTGAAATAATTAAAATTATGAGCACAGACATCGTTTATGCACAAAAGTATTGACTATTAATGGGTTCGATTTTCTACTTTTACAGTACTTTTTGTTATACTTCATGAACTATGTTCCACTTGCCTCTTCGTTAAACATGTACTCACCAAGCTGCGATTTTGAAATATCTCGACTATTTGTAGTTGGGCAGATGAACAGTTCGTTGTAGTCAACATAAATGTTTTGCCCTAGTTGTATGTATATGGTTATTTAACTCGTTTTCTTACAAGTGACACTAACTGGTTTGACACCATTGCAAAATCCTGTCTTATCATTTCTACTCTCTGAGATAGCCTTTGTTTAGCAGACTTGTATTGACACCGATAACCTATAGGTTGCCGGTTCGACTTCTGCCGCAGCCTTTATTTCCATTTCTCCTTCAATCATCACCCAGTATCAATACAAGTCTGCCAAGCCACGGCTATTTCTGACAGCCATCCTGTTCCGCTTTTCTAATTTAGTTTAATTTGAATTAAGATGCGAAGACCCGGTCGGGCAGTCAGTGTGAATACGGTGAACGGATAGTGACACATCATGAATTGACATGGCAGTCGGGCAAAATCCTTTATGATTGATGTGAAATTAAAATCTGATCAGCGGCCGAATCTTGTACCTCAGTTGGTAGAGCACTGGACCGACATCCCAACTGTCGCTGGTTTAAGTCCTACGTCGGTCCAGGTTTTCATATCACTTTCAATCATCACCCAGCATAAATCCATCCTTGTGGATCAATAATCAGTCTTCACCTAGTTTACCATCACCTGCGAAAAGTTGTAACGTGATTTGTTGGATGGCAGTACAAGCTTTACTTTGCTTGTTTCTGAGATAAAGTGGAACATTAGGGAAGTTGACTTTGTTTTTATTGTTTATCAGCAACAATTAAACGTATATCAGATCTTGTTCATCCCTTCTTGAGTTCGGTTCTGTGTTAGTAAGCTGTGTATCCAGAAACGCTTATTATGCTGACATATCGATTACAGATAAGTAGATAATAAATAATAATTCTTTCTTAATTTCAGTCATACGTACAAAGACATGTTGCCAGTTTACTAACTAGTAGAGTAATTAGCCTCATATTCTGAGGAACAATGTGAGTGTTGGGAAAAAGTATTCACTATGGAATTGATATCAAGGAAAATATAAGAGTCCTGAACGATACAACTTCATCGACTATTGTTATGCATAAATGCGTTTGACAATATAGGAGCTGACATCTGTGGAAAATCCTAGATCGATTATTGTTCTAACTGACAAAATGGTTGTAATTGTCTTTAAAAATCCACAAAATACATTTTCGCCTCTTCCTTAATATAACTGATTCGTCGAAATAGTATAACTTGATATGGTAGTATACTGCCGGAAGTCGCTAAGAGTAATAGATTTTTAATACACAGAATAAGAAAGGTATCGGAACAATGAATAAATTAATCTTTAGAAACTCTTGGTGCTTGTGGTGATGTGGCTGGTTTATCTTCAACCGTTTGATTATGAGTTTAAGTCCTGCTCCCCTTAAATCATATCAGCCCAGGACATAAACATATACTGGGTCGGTTTGGTTCTTGCGTTTTTATTTCTAGCTAAATACTTCGGACTTGTCAATTGTCCAGCAACGCGTCCATCTCATATAGTCTGTCTTCAATGTCTTCTAGATACCATCATCTGTTTCTCATCACTGAAAGTCCGCAATTATTTGTTGGTACTATGTCATCGAGTGATTGTTCTGTGGTTTCTTGGTCATAACTCTGACAGAATGCTTATAAGTTGGTAAATTAGATTAATACAATGTGGTCTGGTAATATTTACTAAGTGATTTGTAATTAATGATGCAAAAATCACTTATGTGCAACACATAAAATAATATAATAACTAGATATCAGTAAACACTCCGTTAACTAGGAAATTAAACCTTATGGTTGATCACAACTCTGTATTATTTTTTATTTCGATATAATCTCGTATTAGTTTACTTCAACCAGGTTCCTACTTCGACACAGTTAGTAGACATGATCTTACAATACGTCCTTTAATTGTCTCATACAATATAAGTTCACAAACAAATCAACATTGGCACCATCTTTTTCCTATGATTGTAAATCTCTAAAATTGGCATGATACTGGAGTGGAAACTCAGAGGCTTTCTTCTAAAGTTTATGACTTAGTGTTCTGGGATTAAAAGTCTTACCTTCAATTCTTTCATGCATATTTTATTCCTAGATGTGAAGTTCAGGTTCCTGGTCAGCCGACAAAACGAGGTGTGATAGAATTCATTGGTAAGCATCGTGCTGTAGAATTCTATCTTTTTTACTAAAACTTATCTAAATATTAATTTTAAGAATAGTTTCCCAGGGTTGTACGAAACATTCGTCAAGCTTTATAGAGTATTTAGAATTCAAGTTAAATTAGATCTTAATATGCTAACAGGAGTAATACCACTTCGTCTCTGCTGAGTCAACAATATCAGATTCATGAGTGTAAAGATTATACCTCCCAGTTATGAGGCCTAGCAATTAATTAAGACTAAAACAGTTAAATGGAGTAGTTAAAACATATTCGGGTCTTATCGATCTCCAGTAAACTTTCCCAATACTCTACAACCGTTTATATTAGTCAGGTTTTTAAATTCGTCCACGTTATCTAATAGTGTTACTGTGCTTGCTTGTAGATAAATGGGGGTTCGGTCTACTGACGGTAGAGTCACACTTTCGGTTTGACTTGAATTATCTGACCTAGACACTGGATTATTTTCATTATCTCTTACAAGTAAAGTGTACCGAAGCATTTGATTAACCAAAGACTGATTAATATCAGCATGTAAATTTTCATATGCAATCCAGTCGATATTTGTACCTCAGGTGGATGATCTTGGTTGTGTTCCGTTTTCTTAGCTGGGTGGTTTAATCGTGAATTTTTAGTGAGGACCGAAGTGATTTAAAATCCCAGTCAGTAAAGAAAAACTAGTGTTAGAGAAAACCGATACCATTGTCAACTTAGCTAGTTTTGTATAGCCTCTAAATGAGCTTTAGTTGTATTTAAGGATGACAAGAAACATTTGTGAACAATACCTAAGCAGTATTTAAACCGTTATTATCTTCAGGAACAACCAAATTTAAACCTGGTTATTGGGTTGGAATTCGTTATGATGAACCTTTGGGAAGAAATGATGGGAGGTAGGTCTTCATTAATGTTTACTGTATATTTCCGGTCATGATCAATCATTTTGAATTTTAACATTCCATTGGCAATTTTTGACTAATGGCCCAACTAAAAGGGTAAGCGTCGAAATGTGGTATACAACAATTGAATGAACCAGGCAGTGTTCATTATCGGTCATTAGTGATGACTGCCACCTACAGTATTTTCAGCTTCAGTAAACGGATAAAGTAAAATGTAAGATTAATTTATCGACTGATAACTAAACAACATGCCTAACGCACCACTTATAAATGAAAAATACTACAATAATGCTTTCTCACAATGCGCTTTATAGAGATGCTTAGACAAAACTGATTTTGTTATGGAGGGACTTCTGTTGCAAGAAAGTGACGTGTTGATTTTCAGTTAAACTAATTTGTATCAGATAATCTGGGTTGAAATACATGATTCACAAAATCACTGCTTAAGGTGTCTGGAAACGTATAGCGTAAACAAGTTTGCATTCGTTCTGGGATAAGTTTATCTATTATGACGACTATTAACAATTCGGATCGAAATTTCTGTCTAGAAGAATGTTATATTGAAGAAAGTGGTCGCAACCAACCCTGAAAAGGTGATAACGAGTTCATAGGATTATGTGTATTGTCTTTATTTTTTGTTTAAATGAAGTTTAAAATTAGCGAGGCCTTCAGTTTGTTTTGTATATGATGACTGATCGAACCACATATTACCAGATTTAAGTTTGAGTTACGTACTCAATATTCGAAAATTTTGTATGTATTAATTGACTTCTAATCTTAAAAAGCTGTTTAGAACCAGTTATTGATTCACATTCGCTGTTGTCGTCCTCAAACATATTGCGTTGGTTCATGACACATTTGTGTCGGCGATCACACTGTATTCTTAGTTAAGTGGTTTCCAAGGAGGAAAACCTGTTGATACTACATTTGAAAAACTACTCACCTGTCAAAATTAACGAAGTGAACCGTGTAATTTGTACATAATTTGCAAATTAGTCCTCCTGTCTAGTGTAACTTAGCTGTTAATGCATGTTAATGCTTCAGATAGTAAGTGATGTTATCACTAATGAATACATTGTGTTTAACATAAATTATCACCCTTTTATTTCTGACTAACTGCTTCTCTTCTGCATAATCGATGTTTTAAAAAACGTGTTTTCTGTTATTGAAAAGTAAAACAGTGACCATCAAAAAAGTGACAATCCTTGGATATATCCAAGCTGTAAAAAGGTTAAACAGTCAAACTAGTCTAGTGGAGCTTCTTATCAAAATATTTCCATTAATAAACTTTGCAAAGTATGGGTTTCCACTAAATAATTAACCATAATTAATCTCCGTCAATTATTATTCCTTCATCACAGTTAAGTAGTGATATTCTTAACTTATATTTTTTCGCCACTGTATCAAAATTAGTCTTGCATTACAATTCATTTCAGTATAGGTTAATGCTTGAAAAAAACAGTGTACGACGTTAATTTCATTCGCATTCGACAAAAGTCTTGATTTGCCTAACGTTTTTGAAATGAAGCCGCCCACAGAAATTTTTTAACTTTATCACAACAATTTTCAGTGTATTATGTGCATATATACCCAAAGCTATTGAATATGTTGCCAGATTTTATGAGCTTAGGTAAATTTGCTACTCGTATCATGGCATAGTCGATAAGCATATGCCAATCTGAGCCACCTTTGGCGCCTTTGATAGCCCTAGGATTTGATGGAAGAAGCGGAGGGGTAGTCAGTGTGTGACGTGGCACTGTGGAATGAATGGTCGTTGTATCAGGTTACCATCTGTTGGTGCATCACAACTCCCTGGGTTGGGTCCGAAAGGTCACGCAACTCAGTCTTGAAACGTTATGAGTTATGGTTCAGAGTCGAGACCAGCGGCGATCATACTACGGCTTCCTTCTGCTGATTGCTTTGATCTTACTGGAGTGCCCTACTATTGTTTTTCCTTCTTACTTATCCATTTCCCATAGTTTATGTCTTCACAATATTGTTTTACTGTTTTGTGTAGCGCATTTCTTGGTGACCTTGATGTACTGTCTTTGTGTTCTAATAATAATACCCGGTAATGTGCACATCTTAGCACTAACGGTGAATGGGAATTTATCTCGTATCTTTTAAAAAGTGTTATACTCTGCAGGAAAACGTCTCACGTCCCAAGTTCAAACTCGACTCCTCCTACTTCAGCGTCAGTACATAAGTAGTATCATGAACGTTAACGTAATAAGGGTAGTATATAAGCCCATGTGCTGGGTTAAGTTACATAAATAAATAGTGTAAAATCTGATCTACGCAAATAAGTAAGTCCTCAGTTCAGCTTTATTTTACTTTTACTATTTAAATAAATGAAGAAGAATTAGCTGAATTTATCTTCTAAACTCTAATTATTTTAAAAAGTTCTTTACTAGCTTGTTTGTCAGTAAACCAAACTTATATGCGTATACATCGTCTAACGTAGATTCAATACATTGCATTATTTTAGTGTTGATGGGGTACGATATTTTCATTGTCAAGACAAGTATGGCGCATTTGTGAAACCACAATATGTTGAAGCTGGCGACTTTCCTGAATTTGGAATTGATGAACTAGATGAAATATAACGGCATACTTTCTAAATTTATAGCAAGAGTCGAAATAAGCTATCCACAACACCCTTGCTTGTATATTGGACTAAATGTATTTGGACAAAAAGTGTACGCCAGCTTTCACTGTATCATAATACTTTATCAGTTTTACTAATTTTTTCAGATTTCTATCATGGTTATTGATGATAATATGAAATGAATTAAAATATATTGTGTTCGTTATTTTTAAAGTGTATCTATGATTGAAATGAGATGAGTAAACTGGTGGTTAGTTAGTTAGCTGTTACCGTAGTTTCCTCATACTTCAGCGTTTACTGGACTGACTGTTTAAATATCTATGCTGATTTCTCCTCATGGTATACTTGTTCAAAAAAACATAACAACCAAAACAATAAAGTTTTATGAAATACTCAGGTCTGTTTATTACCCTTCGCAGTCGCAACTGTCGACGTTAGCATAAGACGAACATGATTAAAACGGAAGAGCAGGATCATGTTCTTGATTATTTGCCCGATTTGATTTCTACCCTTTTTCAATGTAACTCTATAAATACTATTCGAGCTTTTTGAAAATCTATTTGTTTTAAGGCATTTTTCACTGCATAACATCAGTTGGAGAACCACTGAAACTTGGGAGTTCTAAGTACCTGGTTTACTGTGGTTCAGGACTCTTCAACATATCCTGTCAAATTATCTCCGTAATTAGTTTAGTTATCTTAAGGGATAGAGGATCGAGTTATTAGCTTGATGAGGGTCATCCTTAGTTGTATTTGAATATTCCCACTGAGTCTTAAAAAAGGATTTCAGTGAACAAATTTGTCTAGGACGATATCATTCCAGGAGCTTTACAACAGCATTTAAATAATTAATCAGTATACATGTGTAGTGGTAACACTTCGATATTTGTCATCCGAAAAGGACGAAAGAAAACATGGATTTAATGAAAGGCTTGCTTTTGAACACAATTTCGGCTTCCGTAAAATGTGAAACAAATCATGTGAAATAGTTTCCGCTGCCAACTGGGTGCTGTAGGATAGAACTTTTGATCGGTCTTAGGCGTTCACTTCCAGGTTGAAGAGTCTTCTTAGGAACTTGACTTTCAATCATTTGGTCCTGTTATATCTCGAGCCAGAAAGAGTAAGAGCCACAACTAGTCAATAATAAATGTCATTCATGAGCCTATCGTTGTTCCTATTCGTTGACATTTGAATTCTGCCGCCTACGATCCTAAGGCCTTGTACATCTGTGTACAGTATTACTTGATCTTCTCTCTGAGTCAGCTAGTGTACTTTTAGTGGTCTGTAGCATCAACTCGTACGTAGTAACTCGGGAATAATAATAGTTGGGACCAACGTTAGGCATTTCTCAGTCCGTTAATCATATGACCCTAAAGGAAACTCAAACCGAGGTTCAGGTCAGAACAATCAGCCAAACCCTCAACTCACAAATGTAACAGACCCAAGTCATTAAAGAACTGGTTCAGTAGCTTTTAGAAGCTGAATTAAATTTATTGTGTATAAATAAATTAGTAAAGGTTAGTGTGGAATTAGTAGTCACTTCCCGAATTCTAGAACAAAGACTCGAAGTGCCTATCTCTATTTTCGTCTATCTGAATGCGCTATCTTATTATTGGTCAATATCTGTGATGACTTGTACAGCTAACATTTAAAGCTTGATCTTTGCTATTTTCATTGCTCCATAACCTTTTTTTCGCAAAAACCTTCGAATGAGGGTTTAGGTTTCCTCCCTAATAATCCCTGCTTCACAAGGAACTGTCCACATTACATTTCTAACTTTTGCGTACTGAAGTTACCATGTTGTGATATGATTTTTTGGTTATTGATTTCTATTTGTTCGGAAACTGAAATAGATAAAAAGTGAGTGGAAGAGTGAAGAACACTTGATACTGAAAGTGTAGTGGTATTTCGGTGTTCTCCGAGTTCCACTAAGGAGACTTTTTTATGAAGTTGTTGCTGAGAATATCACCAAGCCGGGTGGTAAAACGTTCACGAAATAATAACGCCCACTGAACTCCCATCATACTGATCTGCGAATCATTTCAAATTAAAAGCATAGGTTCCAAAATAATTTATTTTGTGGGTTGAAAGCTGAAACCTTGATATGATGGTTGGGATTGCATATCACAATGACCCAACGGGGTACGCTAACTGGAACACTTGTTCCCTTCAGGTCTATACCAGAAAGTCCTGTTAGATATTGGTAAGACGAAAAGCAATAATTCTTATTCCTGGTTGGACGCATAGTGACAAGTAATGTGTTTCCCACGAATTACTAGCAGTTCCATGCTGATGCTGCCTTCCCTATAGAAAACGGGGAAATTCGGCCCCGGAAATAGCACACCGTGCTCCAAAAAATTGTGGTGCCGGGAGTATAGGCTTTTCCAATCTGCTGTTAGAACAATCAGACCTTAATCCAACAATGATAAGAAAACCGCGTCTGGCGAATCTTTGAAATTCATTACTTGAGTGTCAGGAGATTCGATGGCCGATTATTGTAGGCATAGCACTAAGTTATCGAGCGGAAAGCGCACCTCTTGACCAGATACCAATCTGCATGCTGTCCGACTGAATAAATTAGTAAGAACTGCAAAGGGTTGTGAGACCTATCGATATGGTCATTAGCAATTAAGTGCTCTAAACATCGTTCAGTAAGTAACACTGTGTCACTGCTATACGAAAATACACAGTGCCTAGGTTTTACTCCTATCTATTCATAATCCGTTGACTGCAGTTCGAATGATACAAGGGATGAATCCTACCAAAAACCATTAATTCTACCAAATAAAGCAAAACATTCAGGTGTAGTCACACTATTAAGAGGATTCAATGCTCAAGTAGTCAAGCTGAGGCAGTTGGAAACACGTCAGCGGGCTGTTCACGGTATCGCATACCGACGAGCTAACAGTGGGACCGTCTCGCAATTTTGTCCCGACAATCACTTGTTTTTGGCTGACACTAACTTCAGGACAAAGCATACAATATATATGTTAGTGTGTACCACACGAAAGTAGTTACTGAATTAAATTTCAACACTCGTGGGATTATGGTGATGGGCAAAATCATACCTTCCTCCTATTTATGATAAGAGGAAATGTTATCATGTTTACATAACAAGTACCTTCTAGCATACTTTGTCCACTTATGGTTTTAGTAGACATGTGTTTTCAATAACTGCGTTGTAAACAGTACAAACCAGTCACAGGATTGGTATTAAAACAGACTCTATGGCGGATAAACCACTGAGAATAACTACTTAGGTCTACCGGTATCTCAGTCACTCACAAATCAGACCCTGGGTGTTCAAAAACAGTTTGCACTTGGATCCAGTCTAGGTCCGTAAGTTTATTTACATTTCCTAATCTTGTAGGCCCAAATTATTGGGCCCTTTTTGAACTCTCAGAAATAGATAGGTTAAGACTACTAGCTGGTTCATCACGTTTCAGATAACACTTATCTAACCGCTAAACTTCCAATCAAAACTTAATATATCTTATTTTCTGAATGTTCTGACGACTACATCTTGCTAGGTCTAACGATGGTACTGGAGGAGAATGTGACCGTATGGTTTTGCTAAGTTCGATGAGTGTTATGTATGCTCCCTATCCTATTATTCTCACGCTTTGGTCCACCACTCATGCCGTGAAGTGACTGAGGGGAAGGTCAAATTTGTCGTCCTCTAGAAAGTCTTTCATCTAACCATGTGTTCATAGCTACTAGCTTTCATGTCGGGGTATTTACACAAAATAAATTAGGGGAAAGAGAATGTTTGGCGCTTAAACGCTGGTTGGTTTATATAGAGGTTTCACCTAGGAGAATTGATAAATCTGGATTCCAAGCCAGCTGCTGCACACAGACTACAGCATGCAAAAAGGAAGAATGGCACACGAACGCGCTTTGTTAACTGCCAACCATGATAATACAACACCTGATGTTGCGCCGCTGCATCATTTGCTGAAAGTTCGGAAAGATCTCCTAAAACAATCATTTACCTCAGTCTGAGCGTTCAGGCCGCAGTATATCTCCATACAAATCATGAATCAATATTTACAATGAAGACTTAAAAACGCTTACCGATCCTAACGAGCGACGAAACCCACTGTATTACGGACGTCATAATAGATCCTTCGGATTTTTGTACATTCGTCGCTATTAACACAAGAAATGTACTATTATCAACAGGATCTTCCGATTTCTGACTAAACTATTCTAAATCCAGGAGTGTGGCTTAACCAGCCTGCCTTTCACATCCATACCTTGATGCATATCGGACTAATTTGGTACGAACTTCTAAAAGTTCCACAGCTGATGTATGCTATATTTCAAAGACTTGTATACAACATCTTATTCCGGTGCTCCAATCAACTTCTTCATCCATCGACTTTGTTTGTCGTGCACCTATACATGAGAGCTGTAGCATAAGCAACTGATGCCGCTGTTCCTGGATTGGGCTAGAACTAAAGCTGCACTAGTCATATAGATTACTAATAACAGTTAATGGTGAACTACTCCACTTAAATGTTCAGTCAAATTACGAAACAATAGGCAAAATGGACCATGTAACTTAGCCATATCTGTTTACACTCTAACTGACAGCAACCAATATGCATAAAGGGATGAGTTGTTCCACTTAAGTAGTCTTCGCAATAAACATCACTCGACAGATATTGTAGAGCTGGAATATGCAGGATAAAAGTCTAGGCTAACATGGGAGTAGTTCAGAGGGCAAATGCAGATTGACTTTGTCCATATGATAACCTACTTCTTGTCGAACCACCTCCTGCAGAACCATTGCCATTGTGCCACCTGGCACCTTTTTACTCTACCACCTTCGTGTGAACTCAGATCATATTGCGATTGGTTGCCTATCGAAAACTAGTGTAAACGCTAGAGGTACTTCGAGGAGCAATTTAGCTTCCCTATTACTTCAGCGATATGACGTAAAGTTTAGTACCTTATACCGTATGGTCGGCCAGCACCGAATTACCAGAAGAAGCAGAGGTCCGTAAGGAACCTCAGGTCGTATTAGGTATAGGGTCGACAAAAACCACTTTCTGCACTGTTTATTTGAGGATGGAGGTACTACTGTAGTCAGAAAACTAAATACGTTGTTTGTGAAAGTTTGGTATGCTGGAGTTGTCATCCATTTCAGGAAAGCGTCCACGTAATGCGTGTGACGATAATCAGGCTACCAGTAACATCTAAATATCTGCTTCTATCATACCTCGCAGGCTCTGCAAAACGCGTCAGAAACTGATTCGTGAGGAGCAGAATGTGTTTTGTTCAGATCGTGGATGCCTTGACTACATGCTCACTCCCCCATAGTTAGATGCTCGGGCACCGCGAATGTTGCAGACTGTCAGTGTTCCTTAAGATTAGGGTAGTTTTTGATTTGTTGAATGCTTTACATTTGCTTGTTGGTGAGGGTTATCCCTGAGAAGTTTGTTAAGATCCTGAAAATCTTATATGAAGACACCCCAAATAGGGTGGTGGTACACAATCACCCATCTATTGTTTCAGATTAACAGTTAGCTAGCTGCGTTTCGATGACTCTAGTTATTTGTAGATTTATTGGCTAGGATTTTCATTTTTGTCAGAAAATTCGTTCAGCTACATTTGTTTACTAATATAACAATAATACCAAGTTATTTATCAAAATACCTATGCAATATAACCTTTAGACGTTGCGCGTGTGAATGATGTACAGGATATCTACAGTTAACCTAATTATTTGAGGGATATTTTGGACAGGCAATTGTTTTTTCAAATTGGTATGTTTATGAACAATAATCTATGTTCATTGTGTGCTACATAAAGTAAGCGATATAATACGGAATTATATTTCATCATAGTAACTAAATTTTGCTCTTACACTAGTGAAACGCTTCTTTTTTTTCTGAGGCGAGATTTTTTCACTGTGACCAACTTCACTTATACCTGGATGCCTAAAGGGTTTATAACCTAACTCTTTAGTTAGTCTGCTAAATTAGTGTCATTTTAAGTAGCTTTACCAGTAAATATATATTTGGATAAAATGCATATATCACAAGTTATTATACAGCATATTTCCATAGGTAAAGTAAGAAGTGATCATTCCATATTCTGAAATATTCAATACAACATATGATACAGTAAATTCTAGACAAACAGATATCACGAATTAACTTTTATTCGATTCTAACAAATCCTTGGCTTGATTGATCTTAGCAGCGAGGTATGGTGAACCACCTAAAGAGAATAAATGACCCAACTCTTTAAAAAGGTTTAATTATCGCATTAACTATTAGGATTAAAAATGGACGAACTACATAAATGAATATGAACGAAACATTTTCTTTTCATTTGTTCAAATTCGTGAACAAAATAATAGACATGTCATATTGTGACGGAACCTATGAGTCTTACAAAAATAGCTCTCGAAATCAGGTTTTAATAAAAGCGAATTCTGAGAACAAACAAGGTGTTCAGAAATGCAAGTTGGATGAACTTTTTCAAATGAATCAGACAAGTTAGGGATGAAACCAAACAGATCTTTACTTCCATAGTTTTATAGAAGACCAGAAATTTATAAACCGGATATACACATTCTCAATCAGTGGTCCTCTGCTCGAAGAGCATCCAGCCGACCTAGGATATGTGTACATGACATGGTCCCATTGCAAAACCATGATGAAAGATGTGAATGCATTGACCAAAATTTTAAGCACGTTCAGCACGTATCTCGAAACTACTCAAGTTCAGACGTCACATGGCGATTAATAGTACCACGTCAAATGGATGAGGTGCATCAAAAGCCTCACTGGTGATAATCTAGTCCAGAAGGAAAATTCACTTGACTTTCCCTCTTTATTGGCAAACGCCGTTTGCAGCAATCCAATTTATTTGACAGTACGATGTTGAAATGACAAGGCAGCGTCGCATACTTGTTCTGCAACCGCCTACAAAAACATCCCCGGATCAACAGCTGCTATCTTGAAGTGGTGGTAGGGCTTGTATATCACATTATTTTAACGAGCTACCCTGATTGGAACGCTTTTTCCCTCGGGGTTCTACCATACCAGAAAGGTCTACTGGACTGACTGACAAAATCAACCTGGAACTTAGATCCATCAGCTAAAGTTGTCAGAATTCACATAAGTGTACAAAAAGCAAGTGGCTGGAGAAAGACTCATATCAAAGTAGACAAAAGTAGATGAGAAAATAAACAATCTGAAGTTGAATGTTCGTGAGAATTTTCAAGCTTTATAAGAAGTCAATGTGTAAATACATCTGTGCCATTGTGATCGGTTTCCAGTCATTTCACCAAAAGTCCTCAATCAGGCAGTGTACATCTCCCTATACGACTCAAACCAACAGTAAGAGACTTCACTGACTGGTGTCCTGTGTCTCAGTCTGGCCACCCTGAACCCTCGGCGCCACAAATGACGTAAGTTGGCGAGTGTCGAATGAGCCTTCTGTATCCGAGCTAAACCTTTCGTCAGACACCAGTCCATTTGGTCTGATGCAACTGTCTAAGTAAGTGGAGTGGTCGACGCATTCAACCACTTCACTCCCTATCCTTAAACTAGGAATAACTTTTAGACCAATCCTGAAGTATCACCTTACATTTGACAGGTGTGAAACGCAAGGTAAACGTACCCAAATTTGTATTCAACGCATTCAGAAGATCTTGCATTTTGTTGAGCATGAGAATATCGTTTCCATACTCCAAGTCAGCCAGATGACCTCCAGAGAGTGGATCAATCCCTGTGGAGTCAGACATACCTAAGGCTGTCTCTTAATGCATCTATAGCAAAGTTAACAGGAATGGTGACACTGGACATCCCAGGCATACGCCACTTGCGTCATCTGTGGTGTCGAGTGGCGAAATATCCGACTACCTATCAAACGACGAGTATACTACGCTGCAGTCCGTTCTGTCCTGTTGTACAGATGTGAGACATGGAAATTGAAAACAGAAGAAAGAAAGCAGTTGCAAGCTTTTGACCACAGATTTCTTTGTAGCACTGCTCACGTATTTTGCAATCACCATGTGAGAAACACTGAGGTCAGGTGAAGGGTACTGGGCAAGATAAGCAAGTCGATTGATGAGGTTGTGAAACCTAGTCGATTGAGATGACTTCCACATGCACTGCACATGTCGAGGCACCATCTACCTCGATGTCCCATGATGGGAGAAGTTGTATTAGATTGGAAGATGGTTCAGGGTGACCAGACTAAGACACAGTACACCAGTCAATGAAGTCTTTAACTGTTGGTCTGAGTCGTATGGGGAGATGTACAATGCCTGGTTGAGGACTTTTGGTGAAATGACTAGAAACCGACCACAATGACGTCTTCTAAAGCTTGAATGTCTCGACTAACCTTTATTTTTAAATCCCTGTACTTTTATGAGTCTCGTATCGTACTTATCCCATCATGAAAAGATTTACTTCTGTGCGTTGATTTTGTCTGTCTGAAATCTTCGTATACTCGTGTTTTCCTATACTTTCCTTGCTGGTGTGAAAATATTTTTGCTTCTTTTGGTTTATTTTCTCACTTATTTTAATTGCAGCATCATGATTTCATTTAGTTTTGTACATATGCTGAATATTCATATTGTGAATATACTTAGAGATAAATTTTGTCAACGGACTTAATACAGAAAGATGTAAGCATAGATTGAGAATTATGTCTCTCCAAATAGGAAACTGATTATAAACACCGTTCAATTGACAGTAGTCACAATTGGCGTAAACAGCTAAGAAAGTGAGTAAAAAGTGAATGTTTCAAGGATTTCTTGAAGAATAAATTATATACATTGTATAAACTCAGTGAAAAAGTAGTGACCACTGTATACAATCACAGTAGGATCGTATATATCGCGATTCACATAAATTTAGGTCGGAGATAACTACATATCAATTAGTAATTTTATCACAACAGTGACCAACTCACCTTTATCAGGATGGTTCAGAAGCATTATTCTTTTATGAGCTTCTTTGATCTTATTTTTGCCTGACTGTTGACTAAAGGACAAGAAAAAGATTATGCAAAATTTTCAGAATAGAATTTAAAATTTGCATGGTTTATATTAACAAAATCCAATGAAATACAGTGGGTTTTTGGATTCAGTTGGTCTAAAAGAAAATATGTCATTGATGAAGACATACGAACTTTATATAGCTTAACTTAAAATCAATCCTATAGTTTACGCCGATTTACTTGCTATGGATACGGAATACACGGAAACTAAAAGGTGACCTAAATATCGTGGTACTTTTCTATTCTATGTTGACTAATCCATGTATCTAATCCAGAACGTCAAATGTAGTTACAACGGATCAGTGATGGCATTTCTGACATCAATACTGGATAATAAGCACTCGGATCTCTGAGATGATATCAAAGTTGTCCGGTTTTCAGATATGTCGTGCCACAAGTACCAACAAGCAAGAAACGTACCCCAAAGCCTAACCCTCCAACCACCTCATATCACATCATTTGAACCATGATGATGAGCTTCAAATTCGTATTCCGTGCTTGATCGATAAACTTTATTGATCACTTGGGAACAAACAACATGAACAGTGCACGCGAAATATCTTAAACACAAAATTACAATATGAAGACAAGATGGTCAATAAAGGAGACCTTAAATAACATATATTCAGGCTTTTACTACATTTTAGCATTGACAAACTGACTAATAAACGCTACGAAGGTGCTTCGATTCAAGTTGCCACACTTCACTTTTGGCGTCTCATAAGCGAAAATATGAAATAAGAACACGAGTTTACTTACCTAACACCAAGGATTAGTGCTGCCTCACGCTTAGACATATTCTGTTCAAAGCCACCTTTATAATATTTTGAATCGCTCTGTATGTAAAGAAAAGTAGGATTTGAGATTTAACAAAATTTCGTGAATATACTATTTGAAGTAGTGAATGAACACCTACATTCGCCTAATTATTCGTCAGCATGTCTTGACATTGTGCAGACGAGTCACTGCAGCTTACATCTGAGTGACCTACATCGACAGAAGTACGTTGCACTTTGATTTTAGTCAGACCAGATGATCAAGCTAGAGCATTGGTAACACGACAAACAAAACTTATATACAAAATGTCCTATTGTAGGTGGACTCCGTACGTGCTTATTTAACTAACCTTACAATAACTTATAAAAACTGTAATCGAAAGCTAGTTTTGTGTAGATCCCTTTTTTTGAAAACGGTCAACATGATAAGTAACAGAATGAACAGCAAAATCCACTGGATTCGGTTAAAATTTGAACAAATCTATACTCCTTTACTATTAACTAAAACTGAGTAGTCAGCAAAATAATATCTACCTAACTGTTGCACCTAGAAACACTACTATATTAGTATCAATTCAATAAAAACATTCCTGAGATGTGGACCAGAAGTAACATACTTTTGTGCACTGGGTGGTGATACATTATCATCATCGGAAAAAAAAAGGACCAGGCATTATTACAAAACGGTCCAATGGTGATACGAGTCAGTTTACGCACTAACGACTACACCCGACAGCACAACTCTTAGTAACACATAGAAACATACCACTACAGAACAAAGACAAAAATCGGATGATGAATACGATAAGTTACATTCTAGGAAAATACAAAGATGATGCACATGTCATTAAGATTGGTTCCCAGCAAAAACAATTTATCAAAGCAACCAATTTCGCATGGTTCAGTAGTTACTAGCCGGTCCTAAGCCCGGGTAAAGAGGGAAGGTTAGGGCATAGGGCTAGCAACCCTACCCCGGAAAAACAATCCAATCGATAAAAAAGCTTCAAAGCACAAGCGAATTATAAAAAGCAAAAACAAACTTATACCTTGCTGAAATCTGAGGGACAAAATGACGCCGGTTGGTGAAAGCTTTAGGGAAGCCAGTTGGCCAATGTGTCTCCTCTCGAAGAAAACGAAAGTAAGGATGCGGACATGGAACGTTCGCACTATGTATGAACCTACCAAGGCTGCCCAGATTGCAAAAAAGATGAGGAGGTATGGCATAGAAGTGCTTGGAATCTGCTAAAGCAAATGAAATGGAAGTCGACTCTCCAAACTGTCAACTGGAGAATCAATAATCTACTCCGATATTGTCACCCAGACGACAACCACGAGCACACTGAGGGAGTGGCTGTCATGATTTTCCCAAGAACATCGAAAGCTCTCATGTAGTGGGAACCAGTCTCCTCCAGGATCATGACAGGAAGATTCAACTCAAAAGGAAGGAAAGTCACAATCATACAATGCTACGCTATGCACCTACAAATAATGCAGATGAAGAGAAGAAGGAGGAATCCTACAGACAACTGCAATCAGTAGTTGACAAGACTCCAGTTACTGACATCAAAATCCTAATGCGTGAGTGCCAAACTGGGAGCGGACAACACAGGAAGAGAACTCATTATGGGTTGAGAAGCACTCAGTGAAATGATGAATGAGAATAGAGAACTGTTCGCAGATTTTCTGCGCATTCAACGATTTGGTGATTGGAGGTAGTGTGTACAAACACAAGGATACTCAAAAAGCGGCATGCATTTGATTGAACCAGACACCAGGGCACATTGAAAATCAGATCGACTTCATTTCAAACTCAAGAAAGTGCAGATGCAGCCTACTGGACAAAAGGTCACGAAGAGGGGCAGATGTAGGTTCACACTACTCACTATCTAGTGCAAGGAAACTTCAAAATCAAGTTGAAAGCCTTCAAGGAAGTTGGTGATAGACCACAGTTGAAGTTGAATACCCAGAACAGAAACTGAACTGAAGGGAAAAACTACAAAGGACATCTTCACGTCAGACATCAGAACAAAACGGAAGACATTGAGCAAAATCCCTGCAAGAACCTGAGTGGAGGAACACTGGAACTCTTTGAAAGAGATGTGGAAAGAAACCTGCATAACCGTATTAGGAAGGAAGAGAAAACAAGACAATGAATGGATCTCGACGGACACATGGAAGCTGATACACAAGAAGAAGATGGTGAAGTAGAAGAACCAGTGCAAGGATGCACGAAAAAAACACACAACTGAGTACAACGTATAAAACACTGGGCAAAGAAGTGAAGAAGAGGGCACGCAAAGACAAAAGAAACCTCTACGACACATTGGCAAGTGAAGCAGAACAGGCTGCTGGCAGGAGAGACCTGACAACATTGTATCAAATAGCCAAGTTACTATCTGAAAAGAGATTAACTCAGATGAAATCAGTGAAAGATAGTGTAGGAAACTTAGTTGCCAAAGAGAGAGGAAAAACAAAGGAAATGATGGGCTGACTACTTCAAAAACTTTTGAATCGATCACCACCACCTGCAACTCGTCTACAAATACCACCAGCAACCGCAGAACTACCAGTCAACACAGGCCCTCCGTTCTGAATGCCATAAAACTGCTGAAATCCGACAAAGCAGCAGCACCAGATGGAATCCCACCAGAAGCACTAAAAACAGACACAAACACAACAGCGGACATGCTCACGTCACTATTGCAGAAGGTTTAGAAGGAAGGAAAGATACCTGCAGATTGGAAGAAGGGCTACCTTGTCAAACTCCCGAAGAAAGGTGACCTAAGTCTTTGCAAGAACAGGCGCGGAACCATGCTCATGTCCACCTAAAGCAAGCAAAATATTAAGCCGCATCATCCTGGAGCGACTAAAGGATGCGCTGGATTCAAAACTACGACCGCAACACGCTGGCTGGATTCAGGAAGTACAAATCATGTGCGGATGAAATCGCAACGCTACGCATCATCATAGAACTGAGTATAGAATGGTAGTCAACTCTCCACCTCAACTCCATTGACTTTGAAAAGGCTTTCGACAGCGTCGACCAAAAAGTAATTTACCAGTCAGCTGCTTTAACACTACGGAGTGTCACAAATCTTTACCAACCTCCTCCAAAAGCTATATGAAAAGACAACATGCCAAGTAATCCACAATGGAAAGCTCAGTGACGCCTTTGAAGTGAAGACAGGAGTAAGACAAGGCTGCCTAATATCACCTATGATATTCCTGATTGTGGTGGACTGGATCATGCAACAAACCGTGAGGAGTGAGAAGATGAGCCAATGATTTATGTTTAATGTCGCCCAAACTCGAAGATCTACAGGCGAAAACTAACAAGTTGATAGAAGAGGCAGGGCAGCGAAAACGGGACTTCAAGTGAATGTAGAAAAACTGGAGGTGATGAAAATATCCAACCAACAACAGCATTAACAACAAGCACCAATCACCATTAACGGGAAAAACCTAAAGGAAGTAGTCTCACCTACCCAGGCAAGGCGGTATCGTTTCAACTACGGGTGGCGGCGACACAGACGAGGATGTCAAAACCAGCATCATGAAAGCAAGACAGGTTTTCACTAATCTGAAATCAGTGTGGAGAACTAATGCACTCAGCACAAAGAACAAGATCCGGATTTTCAACACTGATTCAGTCAAGTCAGTGCTTCTATGTGATGGTTTAGAAACTTGGCGTGTCACGAAAAGAATTTCCAACAAACTCCAGATATTCATCAACAGCTGCCTACACTCGTTACTGAAGATCAGATGGCCAGAAAGAATAAGCAACAATGAACTCTGGCTGTCAACGAACCAATCAAGAACCTATCACCCAACAAATATGCAGAAGAAAGTAGAGATGGATTGGGCATACACTGAGAAGGCCGACTGGGGAATCCAAAGGGGAAACGATGAGTTGGGCGTCCGAGACGAGGGTGACATGGAGGAGATCATGTGAGGAAGAAATGAAAAGTTGTTGGCAGTCATGGCGCCAGGTCCAAAAGACTGCAGAGAACAGAGTGCAATGGAGGCGTGCTACTGAAGCCGTACGTTCCACTAGGAACCCAAAGGGAAAAATAATAGTAATAATAAGCCCAAAAGGAGTATCCTAGATTTTCCTAGATAGATCCTAACTCTATGTAATAGCGTTATCCAAAAGTGCCAAAGGTAGCAACCTATTATTTAAGTGAACAACAAACCAATGCACTGGTTCATGTTACTGAACATAGCAGCGTGCAAGGAAGTGAATGAAAGGAGACGATACAAATACACAAACGTATACGAGAGATGAAATGAGTACATAAAAGCTAGTGAAAATATCCAGGGCTTCGAAGATGCCAAAGAGTACATACAACTGCGCCATTGTGACTGGCTTCAAATCATATCACGTAAGATCTCCTAACACCACGAAGAGCCCAACCAGAGAGTTTACATGGCTCAGACTAACAGACGTAGACTTTATAGACTGATACCACGTCTCAGTGTGACCAACCAACCCACTCCTGATTCCACCAACACTGCACATAGAGGTGGATCGGCATGTGCAACATGTATTTAAGTTTTACGACCCCCATGCCCACCTGTTATATTCTTGTAGTGACTAATATATATACGGACCTTTGTACAATAACCTTCAGATTCCACCCCTTGATGATCGCTGTTTGTGGGTAATGGAGAAGGTGGTAAGATAATAGGTGTATTGGCATGTCAATAAATATGTATGTATATATATGAAAAATACAATGGTTTATATTTATATTTACGCTGGTCTTGTCTATTCCCAGGTCTTCCTAGATTTAAATGTCCTACTGATTTTCATGTCTCCCAAGAACCTGATATTTACACGTTGGTTCATCTGCTTTCCCTCAAAACCTGGGAGTCCATTCATCCATCCAAATCAACATAGGATCAGGCATTACTGCTTAACGGTCCGAGATGCCACACTTCATACCAGTACATCAAGTAAAAAGGCAGTGAAGTGGAAGATGAAGAAAAGAAAATTCAGTAAAAATATAAAGTACTTAAGGAGAGAAAGGAAGAATGAGAAAATGGTGAGGTTCGATATAGTGTTAAGATGAGGATAATGTGTGTATGCATCTGCACTACTGACATCGGTTCTGAGCCATATCGCCTAGAGTCTCCAACCACTGATTCCTCTTGTCCCGCGGACCTCCAACCGGCTAGTCTGCACCCCCACATGGCTCAAACCAACAGTCAAACACTTCATACATTGATGCCATGTTTTAGTTTGACCACTCCGAGCCTTTTTCCAGTCTGAACCCACTTCGGTCAACATTATGTGACGAGGCAGACGGCGGCTAGGTGTACGTAATATATGTCCCAACCATCTCAGTCGATAAAGGTTTACAACTGTGTCAACTGACTTACTTCTTCTCCCTAAAACTCTACGCCTGAGTCTGACATCTGCGTTACTCGCGTAGTGACACCATGGAATACGGCCTATACCACGAAGGCAAACACTTGACGCCTTATGTCTTCCACCTTCAATGGCCACGTTTCATAGCTATACAGTAGAACCGACCGGGCTGCTGTGCAGTATACGCGACCCTTAGTAGACAACCGGATATCACGGCAGCGCCACAGGCGGCGTAAGTTGGCAAAAGCCAGCCGAGCCCTTTGTATTCATGCAGAGATTTCATTGGCCACTGACCCCACTAGGGTTCATTTGATTATCCAGGTAAGTGAAGTGGTCAATACACTCAACCACTACACTTTCTACTGTTAGTCAAGGCACTGTTGAAGACCAATCCTGGAGCAACAATTCGCATTTACATGGCGAGAAACGCATCCCAAATATTCTCAAATTGCCACTCAGTGTCCAGAAGACTCTGCATCTTGTCAGCGTCTTCACCTAACATGACTATGTCATCTGCGTATTCTAGATTCAACGAAAATTCTCCTGAGATCAGGTCAACGTCTGTGTAGTCAGGTGACGAGAGGCAGACCTCCATAAGAATATCTATGATGAAACTGAATAGGAATAGAGAGGGTGGGCACTCTTGACGGACACCACTCGATGAGTACGGCTGTCTGGACATCTCACCATAGGCTCTAACACGCCCACAAGTGTTCGAGTAGAGAGCCTTCAATAAGGTGACGTACTTACTCAGCACGCCTTTCAGTGAGAGACATTGCCATAAGACTTTTCGACCAATGGATTCGAATGCCACCTTCAAGTCGAGAAGTACAGCTATTGTTGGGCGTTGACAAGTGTCTGTATTCCAAAATCTGGCGCAGTCTGAATATCTGATCGATATACCGGCGGCCAGGTCTAAAGCCTGCCTGGTTTTCTCGGGCTTGCTGTTCCCGAGCTCCAATCAGGTTTCGAAGAATTACAGAACCTAGAATTTTGGATGCTATGTCCTCCGGGCTGATTCCTCTGTGGTTATCACAAGAGGACTTCTCGCCTTTCTTCAAGACTGGGATAGTCAGTGATTTAGACCAGTCAGAGGGGATCGTATTTGATTCCCATATACTAGTTAACACTTTCGTTAAACTAAGAGCACTCTACCACCATTCTTGTATACCTCAGCCGGTAGTCCGTCTGGTCTTGCTGCCCTTCCTTGTTTCAAGTTACAGCTTTCTCGACTTTTGCAAGCGTTGGGGGGCCTATCTCAATGTTCCATTCAGGATCCAATTGGATAGCGGGCAACGCAATGGTGGCTGGAGGTCAGTTAAACTGTTTCGCGAAGTGTTTTGTCCATCTTTCTAGTCGTCTTTCCTGAGAGTGAATCGCAGACCCGTCATTCTACACTATAGTCTCACTAATCCTTGTTGACCCTTTCTCCCCCGTTTCCCTAGTAAGTCGAAATAACTGTCTACTGTTACCAATCGCCTCTGCTTTCTCCATCTCTCTAGCCTTCGCTGCCCACCACTCTTCACGGTCGTTGAGTAGACTTTTTCTCAATCTACTTTCAAGTTGCCCTCGCTCTTCGTTGTACTCAGAACCTGCAGTGACGCGTTCACGTGCATCCATTAGTTCGGAAGAAGCTGCTGATATCCTTTGGCTCTTTTTAGCCACTCATTCGGAGTCGGCTACGGTCTTCAACCCTACTTTTACAGCAGACTGGAGATGGCACCAAGCTTCTTCTGGATGAGTGATAGTCTTCTGTTCCGATAACTGCCTAGCCAACTTCTCACTGAACATGGCTTTGGTGTTTTCGTTGACAAGCAGCACTCTTAGTGGTTTTGTTGCCAAATTTTTCCTACGTTCATTGAGACGCAGGCATATACGTGCTCGGACCAACGCATGGTCGCTACCCAAACACGTACTCCAGAAGGAGCGGCAGTCTTCCACCGATCCTCTCCACAGATGGCTAATACCAATGTGGTCTGTGTCCATCGCTGAGTTGAGCTCGGTGAACGCCATGTTAGACAGTGTCTTTATGTCTGAAATTCGTGCTAGCTAAATGTAAACAGTTATCGGAGTACAGTTGTAGTAGGCGATCACCGTTATCTGTTCGTCCAGCCGGGACTCCAAAAGTGCCACCTGAGTGTCTTTCTGCTTCACTCAGTTTACCCACCTTAGCATTGAAGTCACCTGCAACAATCATCATATCCGAACGTTTGGCATTCGAAAGGAGGTTAGACAGTTTTCGGTAGAACTCATCCTTCACTTCATCTGAACTGCAGTTAGTGGGTGAGTAAGCAGAGATTACAAAGAGACAACGGCGAGTTTCACTATTGCTTTTAGTTCTTACTGAGCTGTTCAGCCGGACAGCACAGAGGTGACTATCAACTAGGCTCCAATCTAGTAGTGAGCTTTCTGTCATAGTGCTTAATGCTATGCCTACACCTGCAAGACCATGTGAGCTAGCTACCGAATCTCCAGAAACTCGAAAGGTGAATTTTGTGGATTCACCATGGTGACCAGGAAAGGTTAGGTGAATAACCGCGCTTGGGTCCTGTATGCGAATCTCACAAACACAGCAGATATCCGTGGTCTGAGTTGCCAGAGTTTTGTTCAATGAAGCTTGTTGACCAATTTGACGGAGGGTGCGAACATTGAAGGCCCTGATGTAATTTGGAGCGTAGTTTAAGGAGATCAGGGATGCTGTCCTGTGGATTCACATCGTTGTCGAAGACTACAGAGCCAGGAGAAATTGAAGATGACATAGTATTGTTAAGTGAGAGACGTGAAGGAAGATTAGAGGGTAATAATGAGGGAGGTGGATAGCAATCTGAAGAAACTTGAGTGCTGACAGAGTTTTGAGGGCGATTGACACTTTTAGGCTGCACACACCGTGGAAGGCTATTTCTTCTTACGGTACCTGAAAGAGATTTGTGACCGCAGAGCCCGATGGACATCTACTTGAGGTCTGTCACATCCAGCCTTTTGTGTATGGTTGTTATGAGCTTTTGTTGTTTTGGGGTCGGATGGCCGAAAAAGAGACGACGAATGAGCCAATACTGCCGGGCCAGCAGACCATGAGGCATAGTGGAGTGTGTTCATTTTGGGACTGAACTTTCCTAACCCCCTCCCTTCCACTGAGAAGGCAGCATCAGCACAGCACTTCTGATCATCCATAAGAAACACCTTACTGCTTTCACACTCCATCCAGCTAGTAGCAGTGCGACTTTTCCCTCAGACCCCCATCATAATGTAGTAAATTACACTACAACGGTAACTGCTTTTCGTCTAACCACAACCCAACAGACCTTTCTGGTAGAACCTCTATGGAGCGTGTCCCACCAGCATAGCTCGTTCGGTCATTGTGATGTGCAAACCCGACCGCCACGTCAAAGTAGCAGCTATCGGCCAGGTGGAACTTGGGAGTAAGACAATTGGCTTTAAAAGGTTTTAGGGATACACAGTTTCTTATGAAGATTTTGTCGATCCTTCTGCACATTATAATACAAAGCAACCTCAGTCAGTGAAGGTTTAAAGCCTCATCGAATGGCTTGCCTTTGCTTGCCTAGTACCTTTCACCTGACCTCGACAATGGACATATTGATTCCAGCATACGTGAGCAATGCTACGAAGGCACCTATGGTTAAAAACCTGCAATGTCTTCGCATCTTTACTCTTGACAGTCAAAAAGCAGCATAAAATGACAGAACGACAAAAAGCACTCAGCCACCTCAAGCACGTCCGTGCAGTAGGCAATGAGTTACACCTACTGTGTGGGGGCTAGAGACATTACCTGGGTGTCCAGACTTCGATAGGTGGAGCGGGGCTCGAGCCTATGACCAAATGATCGATAGATCATCTTCCAAACCAATTGGCCGAAGCTCCACAGACTGCAGCGCAGCATACTTATCCCCTAACAGGTAGCCAGATGTCTCATCAACACTGAAGATGACCTAATTTGATAAGTGCCAAACTTGCCCTGGTATTCTGAGTTGAGATTTTGTCAGAAGCTAACCTACAAGAAGGTGCTACCAGCGGTAGACGCTACCGGATTGAATGATATAAAATGACTGAGTTTTTGTTACAGACTGACTTCATGCTTCTGCGTGTTTTATATCTACTTAGATCTACAGTTGCCACATAACTTAGTAGGGTTGATGAGAAATACTGAGAAACATCGATTAAAATGTGAATCAAAGGATACAAAGCATCATGATACCACTATAAATTGGACCTATATATATACGAATTTACTACTAATAACATTTTCCGATTTATAAAAGTAAAACTAGAAAGATGACAACTTACTAATCCAGAAATCCTAACAAGTTCGGAAATGCTACCAATATTCATTCGCCGTGATATATAGCGTCCCGCAACTCCGACTCCTAATAAACCAAGTCCTATGAGTACTGGTGTTGACTTGGAAATCATTTATTCGCAATTGTTGGCTCACCATTACCAGCTTATTGTTTAAGACGATTAGTGATTATTTGCCGTACGAAGCTTAAAGAGTTTAGAGGGTAATCTCAAAGGTATGTCGTTCGTCCAGAAGGGATCAGTGCAGAAGGGGTAACAATCCAGTTTAAATCTCCGCGATTTAAAAATGTCGTAACTCAAGTTGTTCAAATCCACTACCCAATGTTTGTTTAACGAGCTTGTGGAAATCAGTTAATCTCTTCTTTCTCGCCTCTTGGTCTTGCGGAACACTTCTAGGTTTTTGGCGGATTCTTATGCAGTAGATTCAGCCCCTTGTCAGCTACAGCCCTAATATACAGAACTGGAGTTTGAGTGTTGATTAGTTTACCTGGAACTGTGGTGTAGTTGGGTTTTTCAGATGTCTAGTTGCCAGGCAATTGTTCGGACTGGTCGTTAGAGCGAGTTGGGGCCAGTGGAGAGACAACCCAGGAAGACAAATATGGGTGAGTAAAAGACAAAGAAAAGTGAATTGATGGAGTTGTAGCGTCACACTTCCCCAAAATCAATAGCCTAGGGTTCGACAACATTCGACATTAATTCTGGCCTTGGTAGTTTAACTGGACTCCCTAGACTGAAGGCACCTGGTCAAGCATCCGCGCCATTCGTCATGCTGTCGTGTTACGTTCCACTGCTTGTGACCGACTCCCTAGCTAGGTAGCTGGAACGCATCGGTATTTTGTCACAACCACCCAAATATGCTATTCTATCCGACTACGCCGTCGTGTTCTCCCTTGGTCTCGTATTTGTGGGTACATGACAAGTCCGAATAATTAGTGATTGGTCTTTGTGTCTGCCAAGTTCGCACCAGGACAATTCCTATAGAGCAATCTACTTACACCCAAGTAAGACAAGAGGATTGCAAAGGTATGTAGAAAGTCAGAGAAATGAAAAAAGCTTAGATGATTGGGGTAGGAATAAAACTGGCATAGAGGTAACACAGTTGGGATGGTGTGACTGCAGTAGGCTTCTTCGGCCTGGCTCGTATTCCCGCTCAGCTAGATTCTTGGCATTTTTTGTGTTTACACATCGAAGCTGTTGTATTTTCGCTCAAATAAAGACGTCCATGGATTAAAATGAGACAGGAATTTCTTCAGTATCTGCTACACAATGAACCAAAAGTGTCGTAAAAATACTTGTGGTAGGGCTGGGTGCCACTTGTCAGTGGCCTCTGGTATGCGGTATACCGAACGTAAGAGTTGGTTCCACGACGAAGGCACAAGTCTTATGCCCTCAGTACAGTAAGGTTGGGAGTGTCTGGCTTTGCACTTTGTGATGCTTCGATATTCGCATGCTGGCACAAGAGGCAAAAACACTTCTAAATAAGATAACGCAGTAATTGACGTCCAAAGGGGAAGTCGATAACTGTGATAGTGACAAAAACACATCGTTCACTGATACACATATCACTGCGCAAAATCTTAAGAACGTCTCATGAAAATCTGTTTGCAGGACGCGTAGACTACCCACTAGGGGAGCTGACGGCAAACTAGGAAAAACTACACCAAGAAGAGTGAAGCCAGTATCTTCAGCTCCTCGCATATCAATCAGCTGTCCGACCCAGCCTGAGAACTGCAAACTGTGAGACTAGATCTACCTCTGATGAAGCACTCGTAGTGTCAACCACTGAACCATGTAGATCATACTCAGCGACGAAAGCTACGCAGAATGGAATGCCATTCCGTCCTGAGGCTGACAGTATCGAGACCGCTGGACCCGGGTTTATTAAACCTTGCATGCCCGACCTGAGAAATAGCAGGTAATCAAGTCTAAATTGTACCCCGAGAAGCCGGTAACGGTTATCGAACCAACTGTCATCGTCCCGCTCAGTAAAGATGAAGCAGAGCTCCCTGATAGATCCCCAATCTTCCACAGAGCGGAAGAAATTAGAGACGCAGAACCACTTGGACGCTTCGAACGTGACCTCAGCAAGGTGCAAAGTCTGGCGAACGAGCCTTTAACAGGAAACATATAAAGGGTCGCCCTACTGACGATATACATAGTAGGCTAAAAGGAAACAGTTCCAACTGAAAACAAGTTTCAGCCACTTAAGGTCTCGTTCAAACCATCAGAGAAGAGATCAGATTCTGAAGAACGTTCACAGACTTCCAGTATCTGGAGTATTCGTGCTTAGGGATTTGGCTCTTGTGGACCGAATCAAAAAACTATAAACAGAAGAGCGGAAATCCAGCTTGGCACAGGAGAGCAGGATTGTAAAAAATTGGAATTTCGTGTATTGAGGTTTTGGTAACAAATGACTCCAAAGCCCCTGTGGATAGGACGGAAACTCATTTAAGCAGTTTCGTTGTCTTGTACACAACTTCACGTAGTCTTTTAAACAGGTGGACCGGGCTCAGTAATGTGATAAGCAACGAAAGCCCTCACATCACTCCTATCTCAGAAACTTGGCTCCCTTCTTGGATCACTGACTGTAAAACACACTTACAGGGATTCGTCCCTTTCAGAACAGACAGGTTAGCACGCAATGGTGATGTCATCCTTTATGTTAAGAATACCCTAACGTAACAGCCATAGAAACGGTTTCACATGAAAGCGAGATATGTTAAATACTGTGCTGCCAACTGAAATGTAAGGGACAAGATGTTGGCGTAATCGTGGTATATCGAGGCCCTGAATATGGGGCAGCAGACTTCCTTCTGAATAAGCTGGCCCCGTGGACAGACGACTGCCGATATCTAGTTGCAGGAGACTTCAACACACCCTCATTTGACTGGGAATGACTAACAACAGAAGCATCACGTAGCTCGGTTGATCACTCTCCTTGGCCCCTATACAGCACATTAGGACAGTAACCAGATGTACCCTTCAGGGTGCTTCATCGGTAGTAGACTCGGTACCCTTACACACGAGTGAAGTATGCTTCATTCGGTACCTTGCACCCCCTGGTAAAAGTGATCACATTGTGATCACCATCAGATTCATAGCAGCCGTCTTGTACCGGGCCAATGCTCCAGCTAGACCTAACGTGCGGCAAGCGAATATGGAGGCTGATAACCTGACACCTTCGGAGGGCTGGGCAGCCAATTCGAAAACCTCAGTTAAAGCAGCATAGTGCCCTTTCAAACAGGTATATGCACCAGTGACTCAGATGTTCATTCCGCAGACCATTTTGGAGGGACGGGAACACCGTCCACTGTGGATAAACCACGAAATCAGAATTTTGTTACAACGTAAGAAAGTGTTGAAGTCTTGCCACCTAGGTACTCTCGAGGCGATGAGGCACTACAAAAATGCCAGAAGAGAGTGTATCACTGCTATTCCCCAGTCTCGAGTATGCCTTGAAAAACGTCTTACCCAGGCCGCATTGCACCATCCAAAGGGGTTATTTTCTCATATGAACCATAGAAATAAAATGCATAGTGGTATACTAGCCCTAATCACTTTTCGGGTTCACCTAACCAGTCACGCATTCAAATGGAATCCCAGAAATCGCATCTGCCGGTGTGCACCATACCATCAAAGCCTTATGACGAATGCACACACCCCAAGATCATGACTGTACTGCCTGACCCACCTTCAAGAATATTGGAAGATTCAAACAATAACCGAATAATCCCTAATTTCGAACTGAGCCTGCTTCGACACACCTCTTATATGCCATGAATAACGGTACCTAATGTATAGCTTAACATTGTAATATAAAAGTCATTTCTCATTACCAAAATGGTCAAACCTGTAAACTGGTTTGTATCCATGTAACCTGTGTTGTATGAAATACATATTATTATATCATTATTATTGTGAATTTATGGTTGAAAGTGATGTGGAAAAAGCAGGAGCGATGGTTGCTTATTTTGTTGAGGTATGTACACAGGAATCTTCCACTGGCACTTGTTCAACAGTAGAAGCATTGAGATCTAGCAGAATAAGCTCCGGATATCGATCGCTATGACTTTTGGGACGGTGAGCGCTCTCGATGTGAAAAACGCAACGAGGCCAGATGAGCTGCGCCTAAGGCTGTTGGAGGGGCTTGCACCCTATGTAGCCGGCCCGTTTCTACTATATCTAGACTGTCCCACAGTGAGGACACATTCCCTTATGGCTGAAAGGATACCATGGTCACACCTATCTACGGGACAGGTCCTAGGCAGCACCTATCAAATTAAAGGGTCGATAAGTTTGGCTAGTGCTGTAATAAAAGTCCTGGAAAGGGTAACCAAGAAAACCATCACAGTCCACTTGGGAGACAAAGCTCATTGTCTTGTTCCCAGTGTGGTTTTACAGAAACTTCCCTTACTTGATGAACCTCCCGACAGTCAGAGAAGGTTGGGTTGAGTCTAAAACTGATTGGGTACCTGTAGATGCTATTTTCGTGGACTTAGCAGAGCGTTCAACAAGGCGCCCCATTCCAGGTTGCTCGTGGAACTGGAAAGTTTTGGAATCACCGGCAGTCTGCTTGCGTGGATGAGAAAGTTCCTGGTTGGTAGGAGACAAAGAGTAAGAGTAAATTCTTAACTCTCCTCCTGGAAGTCGGTAGAGTGTGGAGTACTCCAAGTCACAATCCTGGGTCCCCTGCTGTTTCTCCTACACTTAAATGAGCTTCCAAATGTCACGAAATCTTTTATGGTTCTCAATGGTGATGATGTAAAAACCTGGCAGGGAATTAGAAACGACGAGGATATACGTGCTCCCCAGGCAGGCCGAAACAGCTTGTTTACCTGGTCAGAGAAGCGGCTGATGCTCATCGGCGCATGTGAATGTGTGAGCATGGACTTGGGGCACACACATAGTAACGCCTGCGATACTGATGAAACTCCTCTATCGTCAGCCTCCACCCACGATGACCTAGGAGACTCAGTGAGTAGTGAATTGAAAAGTACGTTACACTATCGATTGCCGGCAGCCCGGAGTTTGGGGATACATTGGCCATTACGCAGAACGTCCACAAATAAAAGATGGTGATATGTTCACCATCTTTTACGCATCCTTAGTGAGGTCTAAATTAGAATACAGTACACAAGCGGCCAACCCTTGTCTGAAGGGTAGATCAGACCTTCTGGAAAGAGTTCAGAGGGCAGCCGGTCGTACGATCCGTGCGATGACTGACCTGACCTATGAAGATCAACTTAAGGGGGTGGGCCTCTCCTCTTTAGCCCATCGCATACAGAAGGTAG